AGCAATATGACACACACACACACACACACACATATTAACACCAAAGGCAAGAGACAAGACAAGACGCTTATATAAATCATACAGACAAGACCCAAAACGCTCACTAACCCCTTCCCTTCTCTCTTGTTCACACGTTTTCCTTTTGACCAATGTATGATGACCGTAGATGTATTTTCTCAGTGATTGGTGGCATTTTCCTGCAATTAAACTTGCACTGCTGTCACTTACTGTGTGTGGCCTCTGACCCGCTCTCTCTCGCTCTCTCTATTGCTCTCTCTCTCTCTCTCTCTCTCTGACAACACCACACAGCAGAAGGTCTCCTGCTGAGGCCTGCCAGAGTCTCTCTCCCTCCACACTGTGTCCCTGTGTGTCTGCATTTATTTTCTGTTGCCGTATCATTATAACTGTTTAGTGTCATTTAAAGTCCTCTTGTATCTATTTGGTTTTTGCCTAATACATTAAGCCCCTACTCGATTCTCGTTATACTGTAACACTCAGATATACACAAACAAAAAAACAAAAACAACAACACATTTTAAAAACATTTCGCACGTATAAGCGCCCTATTTTCCATCCCCTAATATCACTGATACCATTATATCAAACACTTCCGCCGGGGCTACAATGAACCCAAAATACAGACTTAATCCACATTATGATTGGACCTGACCTGTTTTTGTAACAGGATTTAAAATGCTCTCCATTTGACTAATAATGCTCTGGTCAAAGGTACATGATGGATCTATTGTCGGCTTCACACAGCTGTGAATATTGCTTTGAGTCACTTTTGATTTTCTTGGGGATAAAATAGCATTAAAATAAAATCAGTTTTTGTTGGATTGTAATCTTGATTTGTTAAGAAAAATACACCACCTACACATCATTATGCAAATACAAATTGTATGGGCTCCACTTCACTTCATATCATATCGCTTAGATAGATAGATAGATACTTTATTGATCCCCGTTGGAGAAATTCAGGTGTCCATCAGCAGAAGACTAATCCAGGTCTGTTGTACAGTCTGACAGCAGAAGGAACAAAGGTTCTCTTGAAACGTTCCGTTTGGCAGTGCAGTGACAGGAGCCATTTGCTTCGATTACTCCTCTGAGCGGCCATAGTGTCACGCAGAGGGAGTTACCCAGGATGCCCTGCATTAGAGCCCTCATCCTTCTCTCCAGCACAGCTCCCACAGAGTCCACACTTCCCCCCATCACAGAGACACATTTCCTGATCAGCCTGTGGAGCCGGTTACTATCTCTCTAGGTCAGACTGCAACCCCAACACTCAACCCCGAAGAACATGGCCCTAGCTACCATAGACTGGTAAAATATGTGCAACATCTGACTGCTCATATCAAAGGACCTCAGTCTGCAGGAAGAAAAGTCTGCTCTGACCTTTCTTAAAGACAGCCTTGGCCTGTTGATGGGGAGGGCTCCTGTGAAAGTCAATGATCATCTGCTTGGTCTTGGACGCATTGAGAATCAGACCATTTATCTTAGCTTATGTTACTGTCTGACATTACATTAAAATAACAAACATACATGGATACAGAATTTACATTGGCGAAAATACATAAAATATATGTCTTTACGTGCACAATTTGTTAAAACCTTACATTCGTATTGCTCAATTATAAGTCAAACACACACATAGTTGACAAGCACACAGCCCACCTCCTTCCTGCACACACACACTCTCTCTCTCTCTCTCTCTCAGACACGCTACACATGACTGCAAGTTTGATTTTATAATAACCATTTCTTTAAAAGGCGTGAGAACTTATAAGAGTTTGTGCTTGCTATCAACTGAGATGCAGCTTGATGATAAAAGTTTCTAAAACCAAGCGATAGAGATTCCCCAATGAGGCAGATTTCAGTTCCAACCTTCAAGTAGAACTACTGACTCAAAAAGTGATTCACCAAATGGTTGAGGAAACATTAAAACCAATTAAAACAAAAAATGGTCATGGTGTAAATTGTCTCCACATTCTTTGCCTTGCTCATGAGAAAGATATTCTTGTAAAACAGCGTCCCATAATACATGGGTATACAAATCCCGGATGAGCTGCAGCTTTACCTGAAGTGGCCTGACGCGGGACGTGATATGAAGGTTTAAAGAAGCGAAGAAAGGACGCGGCGAACAATGGAGTCAGACGGGGTGAGGAGAGGAATCGTACTGCTGGGGGAGTTTACGCTGGATCTAAGCTGATTTGCAGTCCGAGCATATGTCTTCAGTGTCTTATTCAATCCCCAAATCTATTCTCAAAACACAACATCAGCTTTGTCTCATATTCACCGAGTTCAGCATGAGAGATTGTATTATTAAATCAACTGTAAAAAATATATATAGTCAAAGTTATTGTCGGGGAATATGGACGTTGCGTTCTCTGGTGTACATTGAAGTGGGTGGTATATACGCTTTAAAAGTGCCACGCTGCTCTGCTCTCAACGTATTGTTTTCCCCAATGACTAGACCCTTGAAAAGTAAAATATCAGACCAAAGCATGCAGTCCTCACCTTATTAAAAAGCATTTGATCTTTTGCTTACATGTAGAAAGTGCCCAGTGAGTCACCATTTGACGCTTTGGGCAGAGAGCTGATTGGTTGATTCACTTCATCTGCAAAAGATGTGGCAGAAGCTAAACATAAATCCATGTTAAAACTAGTGAAAGAATGGAACTGTTTTGAGAATGAGGAACTAGTTGAATGGATTTTACTATATCTACTTTTTTTGGTTTGAAAGTTAGGTACCCCAACTTTAATTGCTGAGATTGATTAAAATGCCTAGTTATTTCACTTGAAGCCTTGCCCAAAATACAAAAGGAAAGCTCCAAAACAAACCCTGGGCAATCAGTGCTTTAAAGTCGAAACATTTCTCCGACAACACAGCTTATAAAAACATTCTGCTTGTAATTTATTAAACAATATTTGCCACCGCTTTCGTCCGTGCCAATCCTTCCTTCAGTGTTGCAGCTGTCCTGCTCTTTGGTCATCACTAACCCAGGGTTCCTCTGATGTGTGCGTACTGATGGTGGTTAAAGTTCCTTTTGGTGATACAAATACAGAGTGACTTTATTCTACATTGTGTCCTCCTTTGGGAGAATCCTCAGTGTATCATGATATTTAAAACGGGTTTCCCTAATTTAGACCCAGAAATGTCTTGATTCTTACCCAGTTATGGTGGTTCTCAGGGGGCTAAATAATTAGATAGAAAATAAGCTTCAGTAAGTTTGAGAACAACTGGGTTACATATTATAATGTCCTATACTGTTGTCTACAAACTAAAAACATGCACAATAGGCAAAATCCTCCAGCTTCGGCCCTTTACTGAGGCCAGAATAGCATTGCAGGATGGGTCAAATGCAGCGGACAATTTTTTGTGAGGGGGTAAAAAAAAATGTTATACTAAATTATCTATATAGTGTGAAAGAAATTCAAAACATATCATTGATCAAAATCTTTATCCATTGATACAGTCTTGGTTCAATCCAAGCCAAACTTTATTCATTTTGTTCACAAAAACTATGTGTATACAGATCTATCCAGATCCACATTAAAAAAGATAATGAATAGCTTAGAATACCTCCATATTAAGGTGAAAACCATATACCCACATATGTCTATGAAGCCTAACCTTCTACAAACACAAATAAACATGTTCATCCCCTTCGCTGTAAATATTCTTTTTTTTTTTCACTGAAACAGCTTATTTTTAACTATGTTTTGCCAAATTGAATAGTAACCGCAAGAAAACTGGTCTGCACAAAAGTGGTCCCAAAACCCCACCCTAAAATCATTATTATTATTAAGCTTAAAGTCCATAGACAAATGGCCCACCCCTGTTCTTTGCTTACACTGAACAGCAAGAACATGGAAATAAAATACCACACACGTTATAAACACGTTCGGAGTTGAAACGTAAACATGGGTCGATGTGTACATTGATTCCATTAGTCTGGACGCCCCTCTCTATGTGAGTGAGCAGAGCAGCGAGATGACACACAGCGGACTTATAATTGGCGACTTGCTGTGAGCAGGCTGCCTCTAATTGACTCAGTGTGGATTAGACTTCACTTTGTTTTTCTACTTTAATCATCAACCAAAGCCACAACATGGACCGCCCTCTTCTTCAACGACAACCTCACCAGCCTCCCCGCCACAAGACGCTCCCTTTGTTCAGTACACGGGAGACAAAAAAAGAAAAAGTGTGTCAAAAGTCTTTCCAAAGATCAACTGCATGTCATTTTTTACACTCCGCGGGAATTTGATGTATAATTTTGTTCAATTACCGACTTATATAGGATATCAACGTTTCACTCATCACCACCTGTATATATATATATATATATTTTAATGAAGAATAAGCTACTACAGTATGGCAACAATTTTGAATACAATTACTTCAAATTCAGCAACAAAAGTGGATTAAAGTTTATACCTAGAATAGAAAATATAAATAAAATCTCCCTCAAAGCGGTTTGATTTTATGTGTGTATAACATTACATGATGGAAGCCTCAATTTTGATCAGATCTTAAGTCAGACAGAAGTCAAAAAGCGAATCAGCTTTCAGGCCAAAGAAAGTGTCAAATAGTGACTCACGTCGCTCTTTCTCGCACAAGGATGCAAAACACATATTATTTAAAAAGATAACGTTATCATGTTGGGGTCTGATTTACTCACACGTTTTCTATTTCCTTTCTGTATGTATACCCCAGCTTTAAAAGGTGACCTTCTTGGGTGGATGTGCCCCTACAGTGGCTGGTTTGTTTAAGCCACGGGCAGTCCCTGGTTAAAGTTCAGACTTCACTGGTCTATGGGGATACACAGTTACTGTATCCAGATGGCGATGCTATTCCTATTCCTACTCGTTTATAGCTGGCCTGTATTGACTCTGGCTGTTCATTCCACAGGCCGTGTTTGATCTGCCATGACAAAGATAGCGAATATGTGAGGTATATGGTACATGCTGTTATCTGACAGCTCTTGTGTGTTCCACAGATGATGTGCTGGCGAGGGATGCTGGAGAGTGCGTAATCTGTCTGGAAGAACTGCAGCAAGGGGACACCATCGCCAGACTTCCGTGCCTCTGCATCTACCACAAAAGGTGAGGTTTGAACGCCTGCCCATTCTATAATTCGCCACTTCTCCTAATTGAATTACTGCACGCCGCAATGGAAGACTTTCCTTTTAATGGACAAAAGTCGTCTATATTGATTTAGAGGTTACTCATATTTTAGCATAGGTTTAAAATGCTAAGGGTTGTTTCTCCCTCTGATATGTGAGATTAATAGTAATAGAAGGAGCAGGGGTGATATTGCTAATTGTCGAGTGATCTGGCTTGATACAAATTGCATTTTTGTGGCAGTAATTTCTTTCCATATGCAAAGAACTAATCCGTTGTATTTTTTTACAGACATGCATTTTTATTGTCACTAAATTAACATTGTGTCATTTGATAAGGTTATATATGAAAATAATAATATAAGAAATGCATAAAATATAAATAGTTCCATGCTATTTTGAGCAGTACATCATGATGTCAGAAGGTGTCAGCAAAATTGATGCAAACCTGGACTTATCCATCAAGTAAAAGCTCACACATCACAGCTCATAAATGTAGATTCACGTTGAAGTAGGTCTTAAGATACAAAGCCCCACATTTCACAAGAAGGCTTAGTTTATGCTACTCCCTGAAATTGAAAAGGAGGATTTACTATAATGTAACAAAAACTAAAGAGGGAGCAGTAATGATGATATGTTTTGTGTGGCTGCAGCTGTATAGACTCATGGTTTGAGATTAACCGGTCCTGTCCTGAACACCCATCTGACTGACTGCTGGTCCCACTACTGCAGGTAACATGCCTTGGCTTCATAAACAAAACATATGTGTTTATAATGTGTTTATCAATTTTTAATGTATTTTTCCTGCAGAACTTGTGGTGGCGCTGATTCAAAACAGAAACAACAATCCCATACTAATCCAGAAGAACTCATCGTTGCCCTGACGATTATCACTTCTCGTCGACTGAACCAAAAACAGACTTGAGCTCAGAAGCCATCCTCCATTATGTCTGAATCAGGAACATTGTGGGCTTTGGATTGACTTTACTGCCAGAATATTAGAACGCACAACACGGAGCAAGGAGTGGATTTACAGTTTAAAGATTATTCACAATGCTCAGTATATGCAATGATGGGCTGAGTGACAATTTCGTCCTCATACGATTTCAATTCTCTTCATAACGTGACCACTTTTTACAACATGTTTACAGTATGCAGCTTTTTTTCTGTTGGACCAACAAACAAATTGGTTTCTAAACCATTCATTCAGCATAGATTACAGCAAATATGGAGCAGCTGTTTTGTGGATATTCTCAATCAGTTTCTGAAAATGTTACTCTGGTCGAACTCAATTGCTTATACTGTATCATTGTGGGTAAGATAGCTGGCCGGTGGTATGACGCTACTTGACGATTGTGCAAGTCAAGTAAAAGAATACTGCTATCATTATCCAGTATATATAACCGGTATGGGCATGTGTAAACAATGTAAACTCTACTATGAGTCCACTCTTTTCGAACTGTTTCTCGTCAAAGTTGGCAAAAGGAGGGACACGGTAGAAAGGCTACGAAGATCCGGACAAATGAACTATCCTGTACAAAAGAGAGAGGGCCTCACATTTCACCACAGGACTGTAACAAGTCTCATGAAGACTGGGTGTTGCTGGATGTGCTTTATAGAGCTTCTGACCTCTTCGCCAATTTGATCATAGACAAGTCCCCTTGATGGAGTCCTCCAGAATGCACAAATGGTTGTAAAGGTGGGTCTATAGAGAAAGCAGGGAGGAGATGGGGCAGCAATGTATCTAATGCTCCTGTGGTAATCGTGTGCTTGTCTCAGACAGTAGGAATAGTGGTATCAAAACTACATCAAGAAAATTATAGTTTGTTTAAAGGTAACACTCATTTTCATTTCAAAACTGTTCTACATAGACAGTAACTCACATTCTAAAGAAATGATCAATGTTAACATAACAAAATATAGTTTAAAAATACAGTTTAATCACCTCTGCATTTGACTCATCTTGTATTTAAAGGATGCTGTGTCAAACTCAATTCATGAAGATTACTTATTGAATTCATATACTCATTATGTATTTATTGAAACACCTTGTGTATAGGCCTACTATAATTTTCCTTGACCTATTTAGAAGACCCATGATCCACTATTCTTCTGCCTTTGGTGCGTGCCATCCATGTGTGAATGTTCCCTGTGTAAGTGATGAGATGTGTGTGGCTGGTTCAATGTTTACAGTGCAGAGGTCCAAGTCTTCAGTATGTAATTAGCTTCTTCTTACAACATACACACAACCATTTCTCCAAAAGTTATTGATGTGAAACTTCCAGAAACTTAGATGGCAAATACATCTCTACTTGGGTTACATGTGGTGCAATATATACAGAAAAAAACTGTGCAAGCACAAGTTTAGTTTGCTTTGCTGCTAAATATCCTACTGCTGTGATACAATGTAAAGAATCAAATCAAGCTCAATGTGAGTATTATGACAAATACAAATATTTAACACATTTTTCACCATTATTTGCCATATCTAAAGAAGCAAAGTAATATAACTAAACATATTTATATAGCCAAATTGTACATTTCTTCAGCACTTTTAATATATAGCCTATACACTGCTTGATAACGAAACAATATGGTGATACTATCTGACCCTTTCTTTATGTTGAACAAAGATATTCGAGAGTTTCTAGTTCACTGCTCACACCTCCTACCTCCTGAATAAAGCTCATGAATCACTCGCTGCTTTTTACTGGTTTTGAACTCAGTAAAATGGTGCCTGGAGAGATGGTTGTGTGCAGATGTATGTGTCTGTGTTAGCTGCTGGGAGCCTTCTTCCTCTTGATGCTTCTGTCTCTATGTGTTCCACAGATGAGAACAGGTCAGACCCCAAGAACTGTAGTCCCATGTGGAGCAGTGCCACTGGACTTATTTATTTGTTCATAATTACCAATATTTGTTTATATTTCAATTGAACAGAATGAGCTGATGTATGAAGACTACTACAACAACTGCATTCACAACGCTACTGTAAACAAATGGTGGAATAAATTGTGCTAGATGATCTGTCTGTGTGACTTGTTTTTACGGCACCTTCAGATCTTCAAACAGCGTTGGAAAGGGCTTTTTTAAACCCATTTCTAATCAATAATTACAATACATTACGCACAGTGTAATAACAACACAATCTTACAAATCAATGTGAAGTTTAAATCCAACTGAATATCAAGAAAACAGTAGTCTGATTAAACCATTGAACAGAATACGTTGCAAATTAATTTCAAATGTATTGTTCTGTCTATATAAACCTGGATTTTGAGACAGCAGGCCTAATGGTATACTAGGGAGAATACATCAGTGACGGGTGCCTATAGAGTGAAAATATAGAAACCCTCTACCTTTCTCCGCTACCTGATTATTGTCCTTTTCAAAGGTGTTAAACACAACAGGCTATTTGTAGTGTTTCATTATCAGCATGATCCAGATGTATTATAATACTGCAACAGCAGCATCCCAGCCCCATATGCATAGAAATACATCTTAAGATTCAATTAAACACATGAAGGGGAAAGGGGGGATCAGTAATAGTCCATGAAGGCTCAAAGCAAAGAGCCATTTCTTGCCAACATGAATGAGAATACCCCGTAGACTGTAATACCCTTGCCAAATGCAGCACATTTGACATCTCGAAGAGACAAGAGTGGTCACATGGCGTCCCCTAACGGAGAACTTGCCACATGTACGCGCATAGAAAACTCGGATTTGTTATTTACGACGTCCTTACTGAACGTTTTGAAGGAAATAGATCCTGTACCAGAACCCTGGTCTGATAAAGACAAGTACATCCACGGACAAAGACTACAACAACACAGCAAAAACGCACTCACAATAATTTGGACGTGAAGAAGAAACCTCGGCTTGTGATTGGTTTAGCGGACACGGCGGTAAAGCTGCAAACAGGAAGTGGAGCAGGGGCAGCTGTTGTTATGCTAGCTCTGTTATGATCAACACTTACAACATAGAGACTCCTATTATACTCGTTTAGCTTTTCTTCTGACACCATGGCGGCACAGTCGTACTTCCCGGTGCCTCCGGGGGTTGGGATGGAGGAAAACTTCTTCTCACTTGACGATATTCTGCTCTCGCAGGAGAGGCTGCCCTCCCGCACAGAGTGCACTTTCCCTCGGCTGGGCTTTTTGGAGAAATCCACAGACTCGCCACACATTTTAGAGGTGATATATGCACAAACTGTGCATTTATTCCTACGAATATTGAGGCTTTTATTGACTTCTCAGATGTAAGGTTGCTAATACATGTAATGTGTTCTGCTCTTGGCTGGGTCAGGGATCAAAGATGGAACTTCCTCTGTGGCTGGCGAAGGGTTTGTACGAGAGGAAGAGGAGAGTGCTCTCCGTGGAGCTGCCCAAAGTCTATAAGGAAGGCTGGAGGACCGTGTTCACTGCGGACCCTAATGTCGTGGACCTGCACAAGATGGGGCCTTACTACTACGGCCTGGGGTCCCAGATGCTTAATTTTGACAGCCCGGAAAATCCAGAGATTGCTCAGGCACTGCTACAGGTACAACTACTCTAGTAATAGAATCTATACAAACGCCAACTAATCTGTTGTGAGGTGCGATTTTTACAATTACATCAAGAATTGTGTAAGTCATTGTTCTAAGATGTCCTCAAATGGCTTCAATTTAATTTTATCTGCGTAAAACTAATTGATAAATTGGCATTATAATTGTCAGATTAATCGATTATCAATATATTTGTCATCCAATGTACAGAATCGCTCAAGTTTCAAACGGGAAACAGATTTGAGTTGGATGTATATGACCACAAGAGGGAGCCATACTATCAACCGGCTGCGACTGTCATCCAGTAGCGACAAACTTACTGTAGAGAAATATAAAGTATATTTTGGATTCATATGTTGGATGTGCTGTGGCCTGTTCTTTTGTAAAAAAAAGAAAAGCTTGCATAGTATGTTTTTTGATGTTCTTCATATTTGGAAATGATATTGCTCAGTTTATTACAGGAAATATGCACACATGCAATGAAATGGCAGTAATTTCTTAATTGAATCACGTGATGATTGAACTGATTTGTATAATTATTAGTCAGTTCTCATTTTGTTTGTCCTCCCACGCACAGACTTTTATTGGACGTTTCCGACGGACAATGGACTCCTCCCAAAACGCCTACAACGAGGACACATCTGCCTTTGTGGAGAAGCTGGACTGTTTAGAGAAATCCCTGTTCAAATCTGGTCAGAGTGGACTCAATGGTTTCCAGAGCTGGGAGAAGGGACAGGCATCTCAGCTGACTGCCTCCAGTCTGGTCCTGAACTACCGCAAGAGGAAGATCAATGATCTGCAGCCTTGATCATGAACTAATGACCAGACTTTAATACAAACCTCTTTTAATGCTGTGTTTGATGTTATTTTTATCAAATATAATCCAATGTTTCTGATTTCAATAATTACTGTTTCGAAGTCTTTTCACACATTTCTTTTCTGAAATATGACTGGAGGTCTGTGAAGACAAAGATGAGACTGACAGAATTATGTCAGATGCACTTGTCTTGAATGAACAACAATGACCTTTAGAAATGTAAGCACAGACCATGAGGCGGCAGGCAGTGAGTCGTTCTTCTATGTAAAAGACAGTTGCCAGGTAACCAATTTTACAAATTTGCCTCAACGGACTAAAAGAGGATGGTATTGAAGCAGGCTGTGACCAGCCCCGGGATTTCACGACCTGTGCAATGATTGATAATCCATGTGAAAGTGGCCTGAGGTCTGACCCTCACACTTTCTCTTGGTTGTGAAGATATTCCTTTCAATGGGTTCATTTTAAATGGACAGTGTGTAGTTTTTCTCACCAGGAGTTTTCTATTCTTCCAGAGCATGTACTCTTCTGACTCAAATAACTACTGCTTCAGCTGATGAGGTTTAGGTAGATAAAAAAAAAAAAAACTGGCAACCTAAATGATACTAATGCTTATTGTTATATAATGAGGAATAAGTGCATTCACATTTTGCATAAAAGCCTGTACATGATGATTTTAAATGTTGGCCTTGTGTCTGGGACATAGAGCAAAATTGATGAGCGTCATGTAATTTAAAACTAAAATCTTGCAAAACATCCCCTTTTTCTTTTTAGGACACTTCAGATACATAACACTTGTATGAGTGCTTTCGCAGTGGCTTTTGTGGCTTTAATGGCTTTAGTAATATAAATTATATAATCAATTATATGTATATGTGTTCACTTCACAGCTCATCTATCACACATTGTATTTTCAGGATGATAGTCTGATTCTATCTTCTTCCCTACTTGTATTATTTACTTTCTTGACGTAAAAGTTATTTGCGTCATGATTGAGCACAGGTTGTGGTTCTGGATGAATTATATTACTGTATATTCTATCGGGGCACATGCTTCTTAGCCCACGTTCTGCCCAGGACCAGGTGGATCAGAGGTGTCATCAGAGGTGTCATCAGAGGTGTCATCAGAGCTGACTCCAGTCTGAGCTGACGCCAGTCTGAGCTGACTCCAGTCTGAGCCTGTGTGGAGGTGAGTGCACGTGCTGAAATTAATAGTTACTTAATGTAACTTAAGTTCTACGAATAGGTGCGTAGTCCCTTAGGACTTCGCTAGTGGGATATCACTCGTGACCCCCAGGTCACACGCCAGAGAGATCAAAATAATTTGCTCCAATCACCAGCCACCTTCCTCTATAAATGCCCCTGCACAAGGCCGCACCCCCTCTTGAACTCTGCCAAGCCGGGCTGGCCTGATGGGCTCGTAGCTAAGGGACTACGCACCTATTCGTAGAACTTAAGTTACATTAAGTAACTATTAATTCTACGTCATGGTGCTACGTCCCTTAGGACTTCGCTAGTGGGACACAACGCGGAGGCCGTAGGAAAATGTACTCCCAGCAGGCCAGCGAAGGGTGATTGGAGCTCCGCCCGAGCAAGACCCTCACAAAGTGAGAGGACTCAGGGCAGAAGAAACAAGCGTGTTACGGGGCCACTCCTACCAAGGATACCCCCACGTAACACAAACCGTAGGCCATCCGTAGTCACAGGACGCCTCACCCAAGAGCTCCTGACATGGACTACCAGACCGACCAAACACACAAAATGTACCGCACCTGTAGGATGCCTCTCCCAAGAGCTCCTGCACCAGGGCGGAAATAGCCCGAAGGCCCCCTCAGGGGAGGGACCCAACGGTCTAACTCAGTCCGCTGCACTCAGCACGGAATGGGCCACCGACCGGTCCGACACATCCGAAAGATAAGACCGGACGAAAGGGGAGGACGACGCCCAAGAAGCCGTACGGCATACGTCCTCGACCGACGCCCCCCTGAGAAGGGCCGTAGATGCCGCCATCCCACGCGTGGAATGCGACCTGAAACCCACCGGGGGGGCCAGACCCTGCGTCTGATACGCCCGCCGCACAGCCGTGGCGACCCAATGCGCCAGCCGCTGAGCCGACAGCGGGGCGCCCCTGTTCTTGGGGCCCAGACACACAAACAGCTGACCACCCGACCTGAATGACGACGTCATGGCCAGGTAATGCCTCAGCATTCTGACAGGACACAGAAGGTGCTGCCGCTCCTCCTCGGGGGAGGCATGCGGCGGCGGATGGAAAGCCCTAATCCTGATGGCTCTCGACCTAAAGGCCGACGTGATGACCTTGGGGAGAAAAGCCGGATTGGGCCACAATTCCACCATGCCGTCGTCCTCTCCAAAGGACAGGCAAGACGCATGGACGGAGAGCGCACACAAATCGTCCGCCCTCTTAGCAGACGCCAACGCCAGCAAAAGGGCCGTCTTAAAAGCGATACACTCGGGACTCGCCTCCGCCGCCGGTTCAAAAGGCGGACCCGACAGCCCCCTAAGGACCACCCTGAGGTCCCAAACCGGAGGCGTTCTCTGGAGCGAGGGCCTCCTCCTGCGCGCCCCCCGCAGAAAACGTTTAACCAACGGATGAGAACGGGCTGTGAACCCCCCGAATCCGTCGTGACCCGAAGTAATGGCTGCCGCGAACACCGCCAAGGTAGCGACAGCCCTCCCCTTGTCGAAGGGCTCCTGTAGGAATCCCAGGACCCCCTCCAGCGGGCAACACCTGGGATCCCAGGAACGGGAATCGCACCAGACAATGAATAGCCTCCACCTCGTGGCGTAGGCCCTCACAGTGGACGGCGCCCTCGCTCCCTGAATGGTCTCCACCACCGCAGGGGGAAGACCCAGGTCTACGAGGCTCCGCCTCTCAGCCTCCAAGCCCAGAGCCTGCGGCCGATTATCGGGCGTGAAACAGGGCTCCTGCCCCCTGGACTAGAGCCCCCGGCTCGTCCGGGAGGGCCCAGGGCTCCATCACCGCCATGCCCCTCAGGAAGGGGAACCACCGGGCATGCGGACTGTCCGGAGCCACCAGGATCACCGATCTCCTCTCCTGTTCGATCCTCCGCAGCAGGACCGGCAGGAGACGCACCGGTGGGAAAGCGTACAACAGATCGCCTGGCCATGGGTAATGAGCCAGAGCGTCCACGCCTAAAGGCGGCTCGTCCGCGGCCCTTAAGGCGAACCAGGACGGGCACTGTGCGTTCTCTGCACTGGCGAAAAGGTCGACCACTGGACGGCCGAACCTTCGCCAGATCTCCGCAGCTACCCGTGGGGCCAGGCCCCACTCGTCCTGGAGTGGGCCCCCCCCTGGACATCCTGTCGGCTCCCACGTTCCGGACTCCCGGGACGTGGCGCGCCCTGAGAGACAGGAGGTGAAGCGCCGCCCACAGCAGCGTCACCGTCGCCATGCGATGGAGAGCGGGGGACCTGGTGTCCCCCTGCCTGTTCAGATAGGAGACCACTGTGGTGTTGTCTGAGCGCACCATCACGTGTCTCCCCTGCAGCTGAGGGGCAAAGTGCAGCAGTACTCTGTGCACTGCCTCCATCTCCAGCAGGTTAATGTGACGGGCTGAGTCCGACCAGCAGCCTCCTTCAGAGCTCTGGCCGAGGACCCCGCCCCATCCTTCGAGCGACGCGTCCGTGAACACCTCGACGTGAGACACGGCGCAGGCCAGAGTCACTCCGTCCCGCAATAGACCCGGAGTGAGCCAGAACCTGATGTCCGATGCTGCCACTTGGATCAGATCAGATCAGCCTCCCCCCGTCCCGGGAGGGGTGAAGCCTGAGGCGCGAGAACCACCTCTGCGAATTTTTCATGTGGAGCAGGCCTAGCCGCACCACAGCATGAGCCGCCGCCATCATTCCCAGCAGGGACCTGAGGCGCCGAGCGGGGACTCTGGGGCCCGCCAGAACCTCCCGGGCCAGACGGGTAATGTTGATCCGTCTGTCCACGGACAATGCAGCACGGAATGTCACAGAGTCTAGCTGCAGGCCGAGATAGATCATGCGCTGAGCCGGTTGCAGCCTGCTTCTACGTCATGGTGCTACGTCCCTTAGCGGACTTCGCTAGTGGGATAACACGTGCACCTATTCGTAGAACTTAAGTTACAATAGGTAACTATTAATTTTCTCCCTGTTCACCACAGAGCCCAGGCGCTGTATGTGGGACAGGACCGAGTGCGTGTGACACTTCCCTGGATGATGCCAGAATTAACCAGTCGTCTAAGCAGGTTAAACTCCTACCTCTGCGCGTCTGAGCGGCTCCAGTGCCGCTTCCACGCATTGGAAAAGTCCGAGGCGCGAGTGCATAAGTACTCGTAATTCCTCTCTCCCACTGCGAAGCGCAGAAACCTCCTGTGTTCTGGCACTATGGGCATGTGGAAGTACGCATCTGTCGGGTCTATGGAGGACATCCAGTCTCCCTCCCTGACACACTCGAGTAGCTGCTTTGTGGGCAGCATCCGAAACTTCCGTTTGGAAAAGCACTCGTTCAACACGCGCAGATCCAGAATGGGACGCACCCCGCCTGACTTCTTTGGCACTAAGAAGTAAGGGGAGTACAGCCCCCTGGTGGCGTCCTGCGGGTCTACCTCCACTGCTGCGCCTCGACTCAGCAGAGAGGAGACCTCCGCTTGCAGTGCCTCTATTGATCCCCGTACCTGAGAGCGTACTGCCCGTACGCCTCGGAAAGGTGGTGGCTTTCGGAAGAATTGCAGTGCGGAACCCCTGCGCAATGTAATCTCCAGCCATATACTGTCATCCAACCCAGCTCCCTCCAGATGCTGTAGAAGTCTGTGAGGGGCGGAACGGGAGCTGAAACACGAGACGTCACGGCCCCGCCCTCTCCTGGTGTTCCTAGCAGGGAGGGGGGGTGGCCGAAAGGGCCGGGGGGCCCCCTGCGTCACACCGTGAGCGCCGGGGGCGGTCACGTGTTCTGCAGGCCCGACGTCATAAGTACGGGACTGCTCA